TTAACATGGCTGATGATGATCTCACCGGTCTGGACTGTGGAGTGTGTGTGTGAGTGTGTGGAGTGTGTGTGTGATGTGTGTGTGTGTGTGTGTGTCTTGCCTGTTTCCTGTCAGCTGTTGTTTCTCACCGTCTTGTGCTGAAAGGACGTCTGATGTGATCCTGTGTGTGTGTGTGTGTGTGTGTGTGTGTTTGTGTGTTCGGACTCTGAATTTAACTTTATTTATTCATTTCCTGAGAAACTCGTCTTCACACGTTACTGAGGCGACCAGAGCCTTTCAATCGACACACGATGAACACATGAAACCTCCAAACGTTCACATTGTGACAGTGTTATTGTATTATAGGAGATTATTGGAGAGCTATGGAAGAACATTTCTGCCAATGTGATGGAAAATAAAGATTCTGTAAGTCTTTATAATGAGAAACTTTATCAATAATTTTACTTATTTCTCATTATAATGACAATAACTCCAGACTTTCTCCCTTTTTACTGGGATTTACATGAACTGTCTTCACTAAATGTTTTAATAATGTCATAATAAAGATATTAAAAACACAAATACTTAAGTTTTACAAACAAAAGAATCTTTATCTGTAATTTAATATACATAATTGATATGTATTATGTATGATTTATGTTACTTATGATCAAAAACTAGCCAGTCGACAACTTACAGCAAACATCAAGACTCTTATTTCACAAAGCTCTCGACAATGACTGAAAATCTGATGTTTAATATCGTCCGACGGCTTCATTAGCTTCCTCTGACGTCCTGAAAACATCTCAACCTGCAGCCACAGTGGCTACATCTCACAGCAGTTCCTTTAAGACGTCCATCAGGAAACTCTGTAAATCCAGCTTTCCTACCCATAAAACATGATCACAGTTTCCACCGAGCATCCGACTCAAAGAGGGCAACCATTCCAAAATGACCTGATAACCAGTTTTAAGGTAGAAAGGTTACCATAAAGAGCGCTTTAACATGGTGTGTGTGTGTGTGTGTGTGTGTGTGTGTGTGTGTGTGGGGTGTGTGTGTGGAAGGACTAATACATGACCAGAGTTTTGGCAGTGATTTGCTGAAACTTTGCTCCAGGCCAGCAGTTGGATGATTGAGTGTTGGACGGACGTGGGATGAGCTGAAAGTGTGTGTGTGTATGTGTGTTAAAGGTGGTGTCAGGCCAAATTCACTGTTATCCAAGTGTGTGTGTGTGTGTGTGGTGTGTGTGTGTGTATGTCGGTGTGTGTGTGTGTGTGTGTGTGTGATACAGTCATACTGAACAGGGGCTCATGGATTAGTGAACAAACAGTGTCCTGCTCCTCCCTTGTAATAAAATCCGGAGCGTTGTTGATGATACAGGACGTGAAAAGATGAGACATTGCAGCTGGATTCACTGAAGCACTAAAATCTTTGTTTTTTCTGTTAAGATACTGGAGATTCGTTTTTACTTAAATGAAACGATTTGTTTGAAGATGGAAACGTCCCTGCTTGTGGTTAGCAGGTTATAACTACTGTAACAATAATACTGTACAGTTTACATGGACTTGTTTATCTTATAATATGTAGTTATACTAATATTATCTTCTTTTATATGTACACATTGATATAACGGAAATATTATAAATCAACATGCAAATATGTGAATAATAATTAGCAAAAGCAGGGCTGTGAATTTACATGTCTAAATGTGAGAATAACTCCTAAAATACATCATACAAATTTAAGTGGCTTTTTAAAGAAAATGTCATTTTTTCACATAAAAAAAGTATAAAATTCATTATAAATGTATTTATAATGAATTGTATTCAATAAAATCATATATGTATGTTTGGCAGTTTATTATATAGATTCAAGTTTAGATAACCGTTAGGACATTTCACTAAAATTCATTAAAATTAGTGACATTAACAGTAAAAAAAGTATTTGTTGTGTAATTTTACATGGATTTGTTTGTTAATTGACAGATATCTTGTATAATTATGGAAGAAAACATTGAATAAATGTTGTTTATCAGTGTATAAATTGGTAAACTGTCAGAATACAGTTTTTTTAATGTAATTTCACAGACATAACTTTTAAAGTTCACATTAAAAACAGAAAAAATCGAATAATAAGAGCTTTAAATTTAAGCCTGATTATTGATATTATAGCAGTGTTCACCTGTATTTATAGGTAGTTTCGTTGTTTTCCGTCTTTCTGCAGCGTCCATCCGGCTTCTCTCTTGTACAATAATTAAATCACATAAATACAAACTGTTATTATTTAAGCTTGAAAATAAAATAAGTTATAACATCAGAATAAATACAAAATATAATATAAACTTTTACTTCCTGACACAGACAGACTTCATTTTGGCTCTTGTGTGGTTTTTGTGTAGAGTGATGTCACCCTCTAGTGGTTCAGACAGGAACTGGAGGATGTGTGCAGCTTGTTGTTATTGGTCCTTTCTTTTATATATATTATATATATTTATTTATTATTTTTAATAACTTTTGGGGGCTTTTACACCTTTATTGACAACTCAAGTGGGACAGGAAGCTGATATACACACTGTAAAAAACAAAAACTGACTAATAACTAATGATAATTTACTGTTCTTCCCTGGAAAAACTTAAATCTTTTAGTTTTAAAAACAAAAATATCTGTACTTCATAATTTAATATACTGTAAAAATGTAAAAGTTCTCATTTAAAGTCAACTTCATTCGATTTTTGGGTTTTGAGCCGAACTTAAACTCTTTTATTATTTATTTTATTTATTTTTTCAGTTTTCCCAACTAACAATTTTTAAAGATAATTTAATTTTCTTCCTCAGATAAACTTGAACCTTCACGTTATAGAAAATATTTATATTTACAATTCTGTATTTCCAAGATTGTTGAGTTAACTAATAAAAGTAAGTTTGGATTGTTAACTTAATATTTTAAATTGCAGCTCAAAAACACCGGTTTTTATATATATATAGATCTGAAGGTAAAATGAGTGTTTTTGTCTCTGGAGTCTGGTGGAGAGTGATAGTGATATTACTGTTTGTGGTTAAACTAAAGGTCTATCTCTGTAGGGATCCTTCACATAATGCTTGATTAACGTCGTTGCTGCTCGTGGCTGAGCTGAAAGGTTGAACCATCAGACAGCAGCCGTCCTCCGTCTCCTCGCTGCTACCTCGGCCCAGATAAATCACCAGACTGTGGTTGTAATGCACTCTACAGCCTCTAGAGGGCGCTAACACAGAAAGTCTGGCTCTTTTCTGTCTGCGGCTACTTAACAAGTTTCATAATATCTTTTTCTTAATGCCTGGAGATTCTTGCATATTTGAAATGCTGCACACACACACACACACACACACACACACACACACTAACCATGTAAGGCAGTGTCTCTGTTGTCTTGAGTATTTCTGCTGTTTCTTTTCGGACGCTCTGTTCCCGCTGCAGCCTCCCAGCCCTGCAGACTTCTGGGAAACGAGGCCTCCTGGACCTGGATCAGACAGGAACAGAGTCTGTTTACATGCTGTCTGCTAACGTCTGAAACTGAACATGAAGAGACTCTGAGACTGAAAGTGCTGCAGGTCACTGCAGGCCAGTTTCTGTCTTCACTTTCTTTTGTTTTTCTAAGTGTTTTTCTTACTTCTGAGGAAGAAGTATTTAGATCCTTTACTGCAGTGAAAGTACCACACAGTGAAACATTAAAGTCCTGCATTGAAAATGTTACTTCAGTAAAAGTCTTACAGTATAATCAGGAAACTAAAGCATTAAAAACAGAAAATAACATGAAAACAACAGATTCAAGAACAATGTTCCTTATGTGAGATTGTGAATCAGTGTGTGTGAGATCAAGTGGTGTGAATTAGTGGTGTTGTGTTGTGTGTCTGTGTGTGTGAGTGAATCAGTATGAATATAATAATATGCAGTATGAATATGATAAACTAGAACAAGTTGTCGTGGTGACGTGGTTGCGAGTTAAAAATAGAAACTGTCCTGTGAGTAAAACGTCAAACTAAAAATATGACAGTGAGTCAGAGGATCAACAATGCTACACTAACATGTAAACAATGTGTGTGTGTGCAGCCTGCAGGCGTTCCCCCCCCCCACCCCATCAGACTGCACACAGCGTGTTACACGCACACTCAGGTTTTATTTGATCTGGGTTGAGACGGTAAAACGCAGTCAGCTGATGGGGCCTCCAGGTCCAGTCACTTTCCTTCAAACACGGGCTGAGTCTTCGGTTCAGGAGATAGGTCTCCTCCTGACCTCTTGACCTTCCACTGCACACCACACAACATAACACCACACTGCCCTTGTATTGTATGGCAATGTAAAAACTATATTTGAGGTGATGGTGGGGAAAACTATGCTCATTTTATTTTTACTGTTTCGCTCGTCATGATTCATGGTCCAGGTAGATACATACT